GAGGATGCACGGACACTCGGTGCGCGGGCCGCGACCGCCAGGGCCGAACAGGAACTGCAGCCTTTGTCCCGCGCGAACGCTCACAGGGCCGCGGGCGCCCCCTCCCGCCGTGCCCCGGCCGCTGGGGGCTGGGCGGGGGGCTCTAGCCCGAGCCACGCCCCCTGCCCTGGCCGCCCTGGCCACCCAGTCCCAGCTCTGTCTGCCGTGACCCCAAGGGCGCTGCTCCAGCGACCCCCCCACCTCGGGCCTGCCACCATCTGCAGGGCCAGGCCCGAGGGTCCTTAGTCAAAAGTGCACCCACCCAGTCAGCTCCGGGTGGCACTGGGAGAAGGAAGGGGTCGTCGATGCCTGCATGGCTTCCATTCACATCACCAAGCATTGTGCTAAGAATCGTGGGTGGGATGGGTCACTCCCACCTTGTCTTCTGTGCAGCCACTAACTATCTGCAACACACACACAGGCACACACAACCTCACCCGGCCCAGGGGGCTCCAGGCCTCACCAAGGGGCCAGCAAAGAGTCTCACAGTAGGTGACCAAGGTCAGGAGCTCAGCTGGCGGCTGCCTCCCAAATGACCTCAGGGGAGCCTCTATTCCCTGATCTGGGCAGGAAAAGAAGAGTCCTCACCCCACCTCTAACAGGCAGAGCCTTCAACTCTATGTTGAATCTGAGTAGCTCATAGTGGACACACAGGAGTCCACCAGGCAGAGAGGGTGGAAGGGTGTGCTAGCTGCAACAGTGACAGCCCCAGGGGAGACTGGAGAGTCTGAGCTGCTCGCAGAACTCAGTGGTCACTCCTGGGAATGCAAGCCATCTAACTCTCCTCTCTCCCATCCTTATTCACGCCACAACTGCCTCACCACACTCTGGGCTTGTGGAGGGTACGCTGTCACCAAGTGGTGCCTGGAAAGTACCAGGAGGGTCCTGCCAGGTGCTCTCTCTCCAGGTTTGCTTCACTGGCCTGGGCCTGATGCAAAGGCTGGGAGCCCCGAGCTCTTAGGATGGTCTCGTGTGAGGGATTACGGACATCCCTGGCAGGGACCATGAGAGCCCAGAGAGACTGGCTACCTCACTGGTACCATACAGCAGGATAGGGATGGTGAGTGGAGAAACCTGGATGCCTCCAGACCCACCCGGCTGTTCCCTGGCCCTCACACTCCCACCCTGCTGCACCCGACCTTGGCTCGGGCTGTGTCCCTGCCTGGGTGGCCCTCTCTTCTCATGCCTTTAAATTCTGCTCTTCCTTCAAGGTCTGCCTCCTGTCTGTCCCCTTCCAAAAAGTACAGAATTCTCAGTCCTCTGCTCTCTGGAGACCCTCCGCCACTTGTCCTGGGTTCAAGGTATGGCCCCTGCCCTGACCACAGGTGCCCCAGGGTGAACCCACAGAGCCAGCCCAGGGGGGCTCTGCAGAGGACAAAACCCAAGCCCCAGGCCACAACCGAGGCAGGCCCAGGCCCTCAGTTCCCTGTGCATGAGGGGCAACAAAGGGCCTGGGGCCGAGGTTGGCAGGAGGGGGTCTTGAGCTGGGGCCTGTGAGGCCCTTTGAGAGCAGTGGGGAGGGCCTCTCAGTGGAGGGGGGCTAGGGCCCCACCCGGCGATGCTCAGCCCAGGTGTGTGTCCCAAGAGCTCCTCTGCCCTCCGCCAAGACCCCTCCTTTCTGGGGGCTCACTGGAGGGGTCTCCCTGCCACGCCGCGGGGCGTGGGGTGCGGTAGGCTGCAGGACGGCGCATCTGCAGGCAGGCGTCAGAGCGGGGCTCGAGCACACGCTCCCAGTTCCTTCTGTTCTTGTCTCTCTCAAGGTCAGAGCGGAGTGGGGACAGGAACAAAGGCGGCGCGTCCCCCATTCAACCTCACACTCCCTGAGGAAAGGCTGGGAGGGAGGCCTGGCAGGCGGCTGGAGGCCTGGCCCCAGGCGAGGTGGGGAGGGCGGGGACCCCTGCCCACTGTGGGGACCCTGTGGGAGGCCGAGACCCCAACCCACCTGAGGCTTAGCCAGGATTAGGTCATCTGGGAGCCAGGGTCATTCTGGGGTCAGGCATCTTTTGGACTCAAGGGTCAGAGGTCAAGGGACAGTTCTGGGTTCCAGGATCAGCCAGGGTGAGGGATTAGCGGCAGGCCTACATCCAGGCTAGGGTCTCGATGGGGGCCTGCCCCCTCCAGCTGGCCTGCACCCTCAGGCTCGTGGTCCTCCCACTGCCCAAAACCAGCCTTGAGCCCACCACACACCGTCCCCTGCCCACCACCCGCCTGCTGCCTGGGCCCCAGGGCAAGTCGGCAGGGCTCAAGACTGGCGTCCAGACACCCTCAGCCTTCAAAGGCCACGACGCTGCACAGGAAGCTAAAAATATGCAGGGAGAAATTTCTCATTACAGAATAAATTGGACCAGACCCGCTGCCCGCTCACTCGACTAGCAGCTTCAGGAGTGCAGGTGTGGATCAGGTGGGGTAAGGACTCCGGGGCGAGATTGGGGACTTGGAAATTAGGGGCTCCCACAGCCTCATCTCTGGTGCCCAAGCCCCTCAACCCACACAGAACATCACGTGGCACCCCAAGGCTCTGAGCAGCTGTCGCGGAGTGTGAACAGCATTCCTTCCTCCTCCCAGGAAATTAAAACTGCCCTAATCGCATCCAGCCAGGCCCAGGTTCCCAGCCCTGACCCCAGGTTGCCTGCAACCCCACCAAGTCAGGGAGGGGCCGCTGTCTCCCTTCCATCCCCCTTCCCTCTTTCCCACTCTTCTTTTTTCCTTCCCTTGCCCCTTTTCCTTCCTCCCTCCTCCTCCCAGGTGCAGTACCTGGACACAGACCCCTGAGCCCTCCAGTGGTGATGGCCCACCAGCCTGGCGGCCAGACCCTCTGTTCACGGAAGTTCCATGACGTGGGACCCACCTGCACCTACACTGTGCAGCAGTCACCAGCCACAGCGGCTCCTGGACTTGGAGACCTCATGTAGTGTCTACTGATCTAAATAGCCAGAGGTCTCATCAGATGGGAACCCTGTCTCTAGAAGCCTCTAGGGGCTGGGTGTCGTCAAGAACCAGGGAAGCCACCTGTGCTGTGAATGTTTTTGGGGTGGGGATTGCTGGGGGGCAGGGGCAGCTCAGATACCCACGAGAGGGCTCAGGCAGAATGGGGTTCCCCTAGAAAGGATGGGGGTCAAGGGGGTGGGGTCACGTCCACAGGGACTCCAGGTGAGCTAGCAAAGGAGACTTCACCTTCAAGAAGACACCTTTGCCTTCGTGGATGGCAGCACAAACAGCCCCTTCAAGGGTCCCTCCCATGAGGCCACTGCCCTCCTCTCCTGGGCAGAGAAACTCAGGCTCGGGGTCAGCGAGGTGAGACTCAAACCCAGGCCTGCAGAGCACACCTGGACTATGGCAAGGACTTAGCTTACATACGGAGTGTCCCAGGGACTTGGTGACACTGAGCATGTCGCCTCAGGGGGCTGAGTCCACTGTGGGAAGGGAGGGGCACGGTGTTCAGTGAGTGTATCTACACACCACGTCTGCACGCACTTCTCCTGGGTGCGCGACTGTCCCATGGTTTACCTCTCCATGGTGACGTTTGGTGCCTCTGTGTGCGTGTGAGGGGGATGAAGACGCTGGAAGCCTCTCCCATGTGTGTACACACACACGCGCGCGCACACACACAGGCTGCAAGCTGGCTGGGATGCTGGGCCTTTCATCTTGTGCTGACAGGCCCTCTCCTGGCTTTTAGCCGCCAAGCACTTCCTGCTCACAGAGCATTAACCTTGGCGGGGCTGCCAATTACCCCACACTAATGCGGGGGGCTGTGGGCCGGATGCTGACAGGCGGTGGGGCGGCACGGGGCTGGGGCCGTGTGTTCTGGGCGCCGGATGGCGTGTGCAGGGTCTCTCCTGACCTCATTAGAGTAATTAACGTGCCTTCTGAAGCTGGAAAGAGGCGCTGAGCTGTGGGAAGGGGCATGGGGGGTGGGGCTAGGATAGTGTTCTCGTGCTTGTTCCTGTGGGTCAGAGACAGGGAGACAGACGCAGAGATTCAGAGTCAAGGAGAGACACAGGGACCCACGGAGAAGGTCCTTGGGGAGATCAGAAGGGAAAGACCACTCTGAATCTGCTAGCTCCCAAGGCCCAGCCCCACCAGGCTGAGCTGTCTACTGGGCTGCTGTCTTGGGCCTCTTTGGGGCTCCGGCCTAGACATCCCTCCAGACACAACCAAGTGGCAGCTTCACTAACTCTCCTGGGGGATGTGCAGGCCCCCAAGTTCAGGGTCCTTCAAAAGAGCAATCAGGGTGGACTTCCTGGAGGCAGCAGCTGAGAAGGTGGCTGGGGGGGCAGAGATACTGAAAGGGAAGAGGACATGTGAGGGTGAGGGTAGGCTGGTCGGGCAGACTGAGGGTGAGAACAGAGGGCTCTGGCCACGGGCTGGGGGGGTCTGTCAGACCCATGACCAGCATGGCTCCTCTGCACCCTGGTGGCTGGCAAGTTGGATCAGCTGGGACCATGAGGCAGATAAGCCTAGGGGTCTAACAGGGCAGGGGACAAGATGTAGTTCAGCAGACATGTGAGAACTGGGCACTGGGATGGACCCCTTCCCTGCCTGTCCAGGGTGGAGCCCTCTGGGATTCCCTCCAGATGCTCCAGCACACCTGGCCAGCCAAGCTCTAACCACAGGCCACACGGAGACTGGGCAGGTAGCACAAGGCTGCCACCTAGTGGCGGTTTGACCCTATGACATGGAAGTGGCAGCAGCTATGGCCCCTTGGTGAAGGAGACTTTAGGCTGATGTGCCACAGGCCAGTGCCTCCCCACAGTCTCTCCAGGGTCAACTTTCCATGCAGAGGGAAAGGGAGGCCTTGGCACATGGGAACAAGGGGTCCTTGAGCCACAGGAAGTTCCAGCTTCTAGCCAAGACCCCAGGGCCATGCGGTGAGGCTGAAATTGCAGCAGGCACGGCCCCTGAGGAGCCCTGGGGCTGAGGTGGTGCAGAGGAGGGTATCCCTAGACAGGGGCTTTGAAGGATGAATAGAAGTTCTTTCTAGGAGTTCTAACTCCAGAGGTGATGAGTGTCCCAGGCCGCCGGAGAAGCCCCACGACTCACTCTGTCTACTGTGGGGGGTTCCTCACAGACCCTCCAACCGATGAGGCCTAGCCCAGTCCCCCACTCTGCTGTCCACCCCAACCACTGTGCTCAGAGCCAGGCTGCTGTGGTCTGGCTCCCAGCGGTGGCACGGTGCAGAGTCAGGCACCAGCTGCGGTCACTGCCACTTTTATTGTCCGTGGCCCAGCAGGCAGGCACTCCTGACAGGCCCTCCTGCCCACCCACCCTCAGCTCGAGGCTCTTGTACCGCAATGGGGAGGGGAAGTGGCCAGAGCCGCAGTCCGGCTGAGGGGACTGCAGAGTCCAGGTACAGGAGGGACCAGAGCCCCCTGGTTTCCACCCAAGGCCCTCAGATTCCTGGGTGGGGCTGTCTGGAACTGCTTTGGGCATGCCGGGCAGGCTCCAAGAGGCACTCGCGGGGTGCCACTTCATCACGTCCACACCAAAGCTGGCAGGAGAAATGAGCAGGGCTGCTGGGAACACACTTCCCTGCCACAGCATCTGGAAGGGGAGGGCCATGGCTGAGGCTCTGGGGAAGGACATGGAACCTGCAGCCCCAGGCTCACCCACACAGGGCCGGGGCAGGACAGCAATGCTCCCAAGAGGGCTTACCTGGGGTCCCCCTGGAGCCCACCTCCCCGAGGGGATGAGTCTTCTAGCTAGAGAGTTAAGAGACATGCCACCAGGGGGTTCCCAGACGAGCCTGCCCTCAGGAACCACAGACATCTCTCAGTCAAGAGAATGGGGGGGGGGCTAACGACCACAGCAACCACACACTAGGACACTGCCTGAGGGAACCGCCCCACAAGGTGGTCGCCAGCACTCAAGCCTCCCATAGCAGCCCTGTTGGTCCAAGAGACCCCGGGGGCCCTGCTGGGGCCTGCCACCTGGCTCTGTCCTCTAGCCTGTCTGGTTCAGTTCCGCAGGCCTCAGGGCTCCTGCCCAAGTACCCTGCCCAGGCTGGTCACCCCAGGTGCCACGGGGAGGCATCCTCCCTCTCCCTGTCTGCATCACAGAAGGTAGGCTGTCCTCGTTCCTGTACGCTGACCACGTCCCCGTGACCTCTCAGAAAGCTCACTAATTTGGGCGCCCATCTGCAAGGAAAGGGACAGCGAGGTGCAGAGAGGCTGTGCTGTCACCAGCCCGCGGTGACGCACGGCCAGCGTGCTGGGTCTGACCGCTGCTCCCTGCCAGTCCCCGGTCCCAGGGGAGGGGCTGCACTACCATCGTAGGCTCCTTGTCTCAAAGACGGTCTCTTCGTCGCTGTCTGCAGAAGCCATCTCGGTGGAATCGTCCGCGTCGGCCAGGAGGCCGTACCTCCGCCGCTGGGGCTTCTTCAGCCTGGAAGAGGGCCAGACATGCTTACACTCACTGCTGCCCTGGCAGGCCCCCGAGGCTCCGACTCCCTCCTAACCTCCAGGGGCCGACTGCCCTGTCAAGACGGTGAATGATAAGCAACTGTTTTCATCACCATCAAGGGCCCTGGTGGTGCAGGGGCTGAGCACTCAACTGGCTGAGCCAAAGGTGAGCACTTTGAACCCATCCACAGCCCTTCGGAACAAAGGCCTGGCAGCCTGCTCCCGTAAAGATCACAAGCCTAGGAAACCCCACCGAGCAGCTCTTCTGTCACCTGGAGCCACTAGGGGGCAGAGTCCCCTCCCCTGGGGTGCTCTGTGTCAGGGCTTCCAGCCCGTCTCCTCTGCACCAGGACCCTGCCAAGGAGGAGCTTGTGAGCACCTCGTTTTACTAATAACAAGACAGACCCTCAGAGAGAGGGGAGGGCTCGCATGAGACACCCCACCAAACGGAGGACGGCCTCAGGCCCACATTACCAAGGAGACCAGAGAAGGGAGGCAGGAGGGGACCAGCAAAGGATAAACACCAAGGCGAGGGCCATTTAGTGACTTCATGCTGTGCCCACAAGTCTGGGTGGAGGAGGGAGAGCAAGGCGCCACACAGTCATGAGGGGACTGGACTTTGCACCAGCGTGATGGGGAGGAACACGGTCACCTCTGTGTGACAAAGGCCCTTGGAGAGCTCAGTGCCGGAGAGGAAGCCAAAAAGCAGTTAGGGGGCCTAGAGGTTTTGGCTGAGCCAGGTGAACTACAAACAGGGCCTGGACCTGGTGGGCTATGTGTGTCTGTGCGTGAGAGAGAGAGACAGACTGCTCAGCTCTTCAGGGATGGCAATCAGCCGGGCCTAGAAAGTAGCCAAGGAGCAGCTCTGGAGGCCGGGAGAACAGCAGCGAACAGAGGTAGGCGCAAGCTTGGTCTGGCGGAGCGGGCCGCCCCTAGCCTCACCAGCTCTTCCATCTCGGGCAGGTAACTGACTCCTGGAGGCGCCCTCTCTTCACTTATTCGATAGGGATGGTGGTTGGACCACGCTCACCTCCCAAGGCTGAGGCTTAAAGGAGGTTCAACAGGCTAGAAGAGGTGCAGAAAAGCAGAAAGACAGGAAGGTCTGGACGCTCAGAGAAATCTTGGCCGAGGGCGGCGGCAGGTGTGGACAAGAAAGAAGACAAAAAGGACAGGTCCCCAAAGCCAAAAACACCAAATCCACTGACATCGAGTCAATTACGACTCATAGCGACCACCACTGGGTTTCCGAAGCAGTAAATCTTTACGGAACTAGATTGGCCAGTCTTCCTTCCGCGGAGTGGCTGGCTGGTGGGTTTGAACTACCACCCTGCTGGTTAGCAGTCAGCTGCCATGGGCACTGCGCCACCAGAGCGCCTTAGATCCCCAAGGGGTGGCCGTATTAACCGGCCGGCGATGAAGGGCTCCAGCAGGAGAGGAGTGGGAGGAAGAGGAGGAGGGGGCGTGCCCAGAGCGGGACTGCAGCTGGGACTAAGAATACGGAACATAAACCCAGCGCGGGGTCTCCGAGGACCAAGCAGCGGATTGGATTCGCGTCCCGACCCCGCCCAGGCACTCTCCAGCCTCCGGCGTTTCGTCTCGGAAACCGGCACCAACGCCCCCACATCGTGAAGCTGCACTTCACCGAGTCTGCGAGCCACCAGCTGCCCCCGCCCACTCACGTAATGACGCAAGAAGAGCGTTGACCACGCCCACTCCAGAAGGATGCCCC